TTATTGACAAAATAAAGACGCTATTGTTATGATGATAAATTACGTTTTGTAAACACTTAAAATATTTGAATTTTTCCCAAAAACTTAATAATTATGGCGTTTTGTGTTTTATTCTAATGTTTTCTCCGATAGAAAAATATATAATTTAATTTGTAACAAAATGTAAATTAATTTCTTAACTTAACGACTATCTTATTGCTTCGTTTCTGTTAACAAAACCGATAAAATTGGTTTCCGTGACACCCAAAACCGATACAATTCTGATTCCACAACAACAATATAATAGTTTTACCCAGATATGCCCCTAGACTTTTAAATATTTTCACAATCCCAACAAGTCAACTATCGGTTAAATCATAAGTTAATTACTATACCAGAATTCAGAAGAAAGTTAATGGTGTGCTGATTGTCAAGCTGGTCCACTTTTCGAACGATACAGATACCTGATACCACAGTTTAACATCAGCGGACTCGAAGAGAGTAGAAAATTCATTCAGAAATGTAAATCTCAATGTTATTAAACGTACGCTACATATTCGACCCTATCAAATCGACAATCAAATCAATTTGGCTGAACATAACCAACGTTGTTGATCGATTCAAGAACTGACCAGCGTCAAGTGATTTGATGTCATATGAACAATCCATTATTCCAAAATCAAGATTGTGAAAACAATATGGACAACTTCGGTTTAAACTAGATCATATCAGCCTATTGCGATGAATTGATTGCTTGAATCGAACCAATGTATTCGTGCGAGTAAGCCACGAATTCAGTCCAATTCACTCGAGTAATGTTGGATTAATTTAAATCATGTGTGGTATACTCGAGTAAAAATTTATGAATTTTGGGAATTTTTAGCGCATATTTGGATATAAAAACTTCTGTGCCGCATATATTTGAAGCAAAAAGAACTTAGCGCATATTTGTAAGAAGTTTAGTTCTTTTAATAACATACAATAAAAATTCAAAAGAAACCTTAATATATTAATTTTTTTTGTTCCATGTATTTCATACTATAAAACTAATAAACATATTTCGTAACAATAGATTAAAAGTATATAGACAAAAAATAAAATAAAGAAAATGAATAAAAATTTTTTCTCCTTTCATACAAATATAGATGTATTGTGGCGAACACGAATACCAGAACAAATCAGAATCGACGATAAACTGCCAGAAGCAACTAGACAGCGAATTCGTAGTTGCCAGAATGTTCTAGTAGCGAACTTTTGTTAAAAATTTTCTATATAAAGACTACCGGATTGTGCAGCAGACACAGTTCTAATTATATTGTTGCCGTGTAAAAAGCAATTAAGCTATAAGCAATAAGTTGTAAACTCGAATATCGAGAAATAAGTGTTAAGTTGTTGGAATAAAGATAATTGTATAGCCATTAAATTGGGACTTTAATTTAACAATCTAGTGATCGAACTCAGGAGTGAGTTACAGGTAGACGATTTATCGAGAAATCTGTTACAATTGGTGTCAGAAGTGGGATTGTCAAATAAATTCCCAAGGAGATAATTATTTTAAAATGGCTCAGTTTAACGATCTGAAGATTCCACAACTGAAAAAGGAGCTGGATCAACGTGGTTTGGCGACAAATGGATTAAAAACTGAATTACAATCACGGCTGCCAGAGGCCATTGAGGCGGAAAACATTAATGTTGAGGAATATGTCTTTCACATGGAATTAGAGAAAGAGACAACAAAGATTGAAGAAAAGGAAGAGGCTCAATGCTCATCAAAGATTGTGGACATAAACATGATTTTTGCTGCAATGTCCCAGATGTCAACGCAGATATCAACAGAGGTGTTAACGCAAATATCGACACAAATTTCGCAGTTAGAATCGCGGTTGTCAACGCAGTTGGAAGAGCAGTTCGGAACGCAAGATGCACGTATATCAGCACAGGAGGCCTCACAGTTGGAAGAACAGTTCGCAGCGCAAGATGCACGTATATCAGCACAGGTGTCCTCACAGTTGAAAGAGCAGGATACACGGATATCGCAGGTGACCTCACAAGTAGCAGAAGTATCGTCACAGATTAAAATTGAAGTGGATGAATTGAAAGATCGTCTCCGCGAGCTACAATTAAATCGGCCAATTATGCCGTTAGCTTCTGCCAAGGTTAAACCTCCATCCTTTGATGGCACTGTTCCGTTCGACGTTTTTTAGCTTCAATTCGAAAAGACGGCATCTTCAAATAATTGAGATTGAGAGGTTAACTCACTTAGCTTATGCACATAAATCCATGGAATACATCGAGGACACGAAAATGTAGACCTTTAAAATTGACGTTTGCAGAAACCGTTTCGTATGCTCTCACAGGAAACTGCATCTCTGCTTTGCAATCTAACATTTAAAGCTCACAAAGTAGAAAAAGAGGAACACTCTGGGGTTCACATATTCAGTACCTAGGGGCTTGAATAGTTTTGATTCGATGTAGACAATTTTTGGTCACAAGATGGTATACTTTAAACGCATTATTCACGCAACGATTTACCCCGATACAATCATTGTTGCTTGATTTACATATGATAATGAAAGAATCAGATGGAATTTAAAACGGTGTTTTATAGGAAATAGGCGTAGTTGTAGTCTGATTTCGCCCATTTTCGCACTATAACATAGAAATATGAGAAGAATGTTACGTACCGAATTTGGTTAAAATCGGTTAAGCAGATCTCAAGATATGGGTTTTCACCTAAAAAAGGGTGTTGCCACCCGATTTCACCCATTTTCACACTGCCCATAGAGGTGCTAAAAATATTTGGTCTCAGTGAATTTTGTTATTATAGCTTTAGCAGTTTAGAAGATATGCACATTAGACCGCTTAGAGGCGGGACCACGCCCACTTAAAAAAAAATTTAAATGAAGCTGCCTGTCCCTAATGTGATCCTTTATACCAAATAATAGTCTCGTATCTTATTATGGAGCTTAGTTATGGCAATTTATTTGTTTTTGACTAATGTTGTTTTGTAGGCGTAGCAGTGGTCCGATTATGCCCATCTGCAATACCAACTGTCTTACGGCACTAAGAAACATGTGTACCAAGTTTAATAAAGATATCTCAATTTTTACTCAAGTTACAGTTTGCACAGACAGACGGCCGTACAGCCAGTCACCCGGATTTAAACTCGTTTCTTCAAACTGATAATTTATACCTATATACATAACCCTATAATATAACCCTATATATACTTGTAAGTCGATTAGTTATATTATATATAACTCGATTAGTTTTAGGTGATACAAACCACCGTTAGGTGAACAAAACTATTATACTCTGTAGCAACATGTTGCGAGAGTATAATGACAACAAACAAATTAACTGTTCAACTATTCTATAATGATGCCCCAGCCTCCAACATGTTGCGAGAATATAATGACAACAAACAAATTAACTGTTCAACTATTCTATAATGATGCCCCAGCCTCCATATTCGCAAAACATGGTTCCATGAGACTTTTTCCTGCCATGTCACCATCGTGCTACAGAGGTTGTTCGACACTCAACGTTCTTTCGATTGTCATGCTTTTTTGAACGCGACATGAATTGTATAATGTTTTTTGGGTACGTTTGGTCAAATTTTCAAGGCGCTATGACATTTCATACTCGCACCTGGATGAAATACGGGAAAATACTTTCAGGTGTTTGGTATTTTATTAAGTTTCGAGTATATTATAGGTCATAGACTCAATTAGTTTTATAACAATCAGCAATAGTTATATTAAAATCATGCTCAAATGAGATATATCTGTCAAAACTTTAACGAAGAGGCTAAATTAAATATAATATTCAGAAGATCCAATATATACGTTTAGTTAATTATGCTAAGATATCTTACATATTGACCGATACATACGGTATAAGGCCAACAGGAAGTTTGAAAATCTTTTCTTTGATATTGACATATCGTCAACAATTAGTTTCATGGAGGTTTGTGCAACTTTTCACCCGATTTTATCCATTTTAGGCAAAGAAATGCACGCTTTCTCAATTTAATTACGATAACTCACCTGTTGGCTGATATATGAGGTATAAAATCAGTCGGAAGTTCGTAAATCGAAAATCTTTTTATTAGGTATATGGGGACTAAGGAAAATACAGACTCGATTCAACCAATTTTTGACACATTATTATAAGGAAAAGATTCTCTCCTAATTTCAATAACAAATCTTACACATTAACCACTATTTTCGGCAGATAGTCAGCATTAGGCTCTGGGGTCCACATTTCCGGTATGTGGGGGCTTTAATAGTTATGGTCTGATTTTAAAAATTTTTAGACTTGAGATGGCTAACCATAAAGACACTATTCATAAAAATTTTGATCCCGATATATTAATCGGTGTTTAATTTATATACTGGAAAGTAAAAATATCAGATAGAATTTAAAGTTGTGTTATATGCGAGGTAAGCGTGGTTGTACTCCATTTTCGCAATATACTTGTAACATAAAAATCTCAAAATAGTCCAAGGTATTTATTGAAAGTCGTGTAATAGGTCCAGAGACATGTGATTCACTTATATGTGGGCGGTGCCACAATGTTTCTGCCGCATTTAGTTATTGATTTATCGCACTTTTAGTAGTTGTTAACAAAACCAAGAGATTTCGAAATGGATTGCTCTGTGCAAATTTGGGTGATATAGCTTGAATGGTTTGGAAGATATATACATTAAACCTATTAGAGGGCGGGCCAACGCCCACTTTTAACAAATTCGTATCGTTGGACCAAATTACAGTCACTCGGAATTCAACTCGTCTCGTCAACTTGATCATTTATATATACATAACTCCAATCTTTCTCGATTAGTTTTAGGTGATACAAACAACAGTTAGGTGAACAAAATAAAAATACTCTGTAGCAACATGTATTAAGAGTATGGTATAAAAATGAGGAAATGGATTTAAGAAAAAACATGTTTGCCACCCGTTATTTATTTATTATATAGTATTTAGTTCGCTTGGCAGCCAATGTATGAAAAGTTTAAAAGATATTTGTATTTATTAATGTTTATTTAATTGTTTCAATTACACTTTAGTTTTCTTACTATATTACACTTCTACTGTTCAGTTTTATTAAATTTACACTTGGTTGTACCACTGTATTTTTTAGGTTCTGGACTGTTCAAAGTCCGTTTTTGATTTGATGTTCTCGGTTTTTCGTCCGTTAGCGTCGCGTTCTATTCGTCCAGTCCGTGGCGTGCCTTTCGTCCAGTCAGTGTTGTCGTATGTCAAAGATGTCCAGTCCGCACGGTCGCATTCCATCGTCCACATTGTCGTATTTTTTTCGTCCCATAACTCCGCCATTCCTAACTACTTATTCGCCTCGAATAATGTTACCACCTTTTCATATAGTCCGCAGCGGTCGATGTTACCTTAGGTCCCTCATTATTTCCCACTCTTTCTACTTCATATCGACCGTGTTTTAATCTTTTTATACCCTGAACAGGGTATATTAAGTTTGCCACGAAGTTTGTAACACCCAGAAGGAAACGTCGGAGACCCTATAAAATATATACATAAATGATCAGCATGATGAGCTGAGTTGATTTAACCATGTCCGTCTGTCTGTATATATACAAACTAGTCCCTCAGTTTTTATGCTATCGATCTGAAATTTTGCACCTGTTTTTTTCCAACAAAGAAGCTGCTTATTTGTCAGAACGGCCGATATCGGACCACTATAGCATATAGCTGCCGTACAAACTGAACAATTGAAGTGCTTGTATAGAAAACTCTTTCATTTGACGAGGTATCTTCACGAAATTTGGCATGTATTATTATTTAAAGAATTAATCTAATCTCCGAAGAAATTGTATAGATCGGATGACTATAGCATATAGCTGCCATATTAACTGAACGATCGGAGTAAAGTGCTTGCACGGAAAATTTTTTTATTTGACGAGGTATCTTCACGAAATTAGGCACGAGTTATTGCTTAAGGCAACAAATTATTCTCTACAGAAATTGGTCAGATCAGATCACTATATCATATAGCTGCCATACAAATTGAACGTTCGGAATCAAGTTCTTGTAAGGGGCCTTTGTATTTGTGAAGGGTATTATAGCTTCGGCGCAACCGAAGTTAACGTTTTTTCTTGTTAAAACCTTGTATGGTCCCAAGAATTTGGGTCGTAACTTCATCCTCTGCTCTCTTTTGTAACTTTACCGCCCCATACCCATTCATTGATGCATCTGTATGAACTTCCGTTATTGCGTTCGGGTTATACAATTCTAAAACAATATTCTAAAGTAATTGTGATAGCAAAGTTTTTAGTTGCTCGAAAGCAATTGCCTGTTCTTCCTTCCCCTTAAAATTTCGATATTTTCGCAGAAGATCTGATAATAGCTTGGCCACTAGCGCATAGTTTCGAATGAATCTTCGAAAGGAGGATGTTAACCCTAATAATTGTTGTATGGCCTTTTTGTATCTGGGTGGCTTAAAAGCTTTAACTGCTCTGGTTTTCTCGGCCGACGGACGAATTGTGCTATTTTCGATTATGTACCCAAAAAATTGGTGTTTTTCTTCTTCTGTTTTCTGCTTCTGTAAGAACTTCTTTTAGTTTTATTAACCCCTCCTCCTCGTCTATAGATGGAATAATTAAGTCATCAATATAAGTGACTACTCTTCCCTTAGCTTTTTGTTCCTTAAAAATCGAATGGATAAATCTGGTAAATTAGAAATTTAACTTCAAATTGACCATTCATTGTAACAAACGATGTATATTTTTTATAGTTTTCTTCGACAGGAACATGCAAAAATTCGTTAGCCAGATCTAATGTGGAAAAAACTTTATATCACTTGAGTTTCGCAAATACCTCGTCAATCAATATAATTTGAAAATTATCGCACACAATTTTCTCATTTAATTTGCGATAATCGCAACATAATCGCTTGGTTTTATCCTTTTTAAACACAAGCACAATCGGCGACGCGTTATCGAATACACTTGGGGTAATAATATCTTCATCTAACCATTGCCTTACTTGAGCATCTATGATTATTTGATCTTGGAATGATACGCGCCTGGTTGGCTGATGTACCGGTACATCGTCTTTTAAAATAATTTTCATTTTCATTTCCACTGGGGAAATTTATTCCTTTTGGCTCATATTGAGCAATCAGCTTTTCCACTTCTAACATTTTTCCCTTATCCAGATGTGACAAATCATTCATTGGCTTCGGCGCCTGTTCTTCTATACAAATCATACTAAAAGCTAATATTTCTTCCTCTTCTGTGATTTTGTCATCAAAGCTATTTGGTTTATGCTCCGTTTGAAATTTATCGTTCTCTTCACTAACTATCAAATCGACTTGACCCAAAACTGTATCTCCAATTATTGGCGGATATTGAAGATCTCTATTGTTTACAATATGAAATGTGATATTTATCTTAATATCATCTACTTTTGCTTTAGTTTCGAAACTGCCCAACGTGACCACTTCCGTATTTCCGATTCCACCCAGCACTCGCTTATCTTTGTTTGGTTTAACAACAAAATTCAGCTTATCGACTGTGCCTGCCCTGATCAAACACAACCGACTGTCCGTATCTATTAAAGCAAGAAAAATTGTGTTCCCTACCTTTACCCTTTTAAATTTTAGTCCAAAATCTGCAACTGAAGGTTTGACCTTTACTTCAGTTATTGTGTTCAATAATCTTTTTCACTTTTGATTTTAACCGTTGGACATTCGTAGCGCTTCTGCCCTATCTTGTTGCACTTATAACATTTAATTTGTTGATTTGTGCAATTCCTTGCAATGTGTGAAATTTCGCCACATTTGAAACATGAAAATGTTTCGCTTTGTTTCTTTTGACGATTTTCTAAAAGCCTATGTGCCTCAGGTGTGATAATGATATTTCGAATTCATAAATTAAAGCATGTTTTAAAACTGCCCAATCACGAATACCGGTTTTGCTTTGAATGAATGCCCTATCTGCTCTGAGAAGCTGTTTTGCATAAATAAATTTATGAATTTCCGGCCAGCCCACTCACTATATGTGCATTTTCTTCAAAAGATTCTGCCCATTGCCTTACCTCCTGTCCGTCTGTACCGTTAAATAACGCCAAGCTTTCCTCAATTTCTCTAAAGGTGATATGAGAGACCGTGGATGTAACCGGACCTCTACCCGACACGTGGCACCACTGTTTCGACCTCGCTGTCGCTTTCATGGTAATCGTTAAGAAGACCGTAGTGTGTCAGAAGTCTGTCTCATAAGTCTTTCTTGCGTCCATTTATTGGTAGCCCTACTTCTCTTTTAACACTGTCACCGTCATGTTCAATATTGTCTGAGCCTTTGAGTGCTTTTTACAATTTCGTTTATTACTTAAAACTATGAATATTTCTGAAAAAGTTACAATTTAAACTTGTGTTAGTATTAATATATTATATGTAACCTTAAAAGATACGGTTAATAAAAATTTTGACCTGTCAATTCGCTGTTCCTGGAATTGCCTCAGCCACTCGAACCAGCTCCAAATGCTTCTAATCGACTCTGTTGCTATATTGCCGCGCAACTGTTTCCTTGTACCAACCGCAACCAGTTCTTTGCAACTTGTTGATGACGCTCACTCTTCACTGCCGTCAACTTACACTGCTGCGCTATTGCGGCGCAACCGTTTTGTTGTACCAACCGCAACCAGTTCGTGGCAACTTGTTGATGACGCTCAACGCACGCTGTCTGTGCACTTGTGCCGCCGTCGCACCTGCACTCTTCACTGCCTTCAACTTGCTCTGTTGCGCTATTGCGGCGCAACACGTTTTGTTGTACTAACCGCAACCTCTTTGTTGCAAACTTGTTGGTGACGCTCCACCGTAAGAAAACGAAATTTTAAATTTTTACTGCTCTTAACTGCCTCTGTTGCGCTATTTCGGCGCAACTGTTTTGTTGTACTAACCGCAAGCTCTTTGTTGCAAACTTGTTGTTGGCGCTCTTGTGTTGCGGTGTTGCGCTGAATATTTAAGGTTAATTTCATTGTCACTCTTTTGCTTGCTGCTGCACTTATGCCACTGCATCCGTATATGTCACCTTCCACGTACTATCCCGGACGAGCAAGCAATTTGTAAAATTTTAAAGATATTTGTATTTATTAATGTTTATTTAATTGTTTTAATTACACTTCAGTTTTCTTACAGTATTATACTTGAACTTATCAGTTTTATTAAATTTACACTTGCTTGTACCACTGTATTTTTTAGGTTCTTCACTGTTCAAAGTCTGTTTCTGATCTCCTCGGTTTAACGTCGCGTTCTATTCGTCCAGTCAATGTTGTCGTATGTCAAAGATGTTCAGTCCGCACGGTCGCATTCCTTCGTCTACATGGTCGTATTTCTCCGTCCCACATGTATTAAGTGGTCATCGTTTTACAAGATAGATGAAAAACGCTGAAAGAGCTAAAGGCCTAAAAATCGAGTTTGATAATTGTTTCAACGATTGCAAGAAGAGCTGGCATAAGTGCATAATATCGAATGGGGACTATTTTGAAAGCGACAGAATTAATGTGGACGAATAAATTTAAAAAATTCCGTTATTTTTTTAATACCCCTTGTATACGAACAAATTTGACGGGAATTTTGAATAGGGTAAACGAAGGGTAGGGAAATTACTGAATCCCTTTTTGACACCCATTATGCTCAGGAAAATATGTCGTATGAATTTCATTAAGATATTACACAAGTGGGTTGACATTTACGGTAAAGATACTCACCAGAGACTTGCAGCCCTACACTGCAACAAAGAGTGCACCTCATGCTTAGTCGACATTCACATAGAGACTCTTTTGTCGCTCATTATCGGAAAATTCTCTTTTGGCGCTTGTGTCGTGGGAACGGCCGGATATTACCATCATTAGTTGTGTTTTGATAAATAGTATAACCTGCCTACCTATGCTAACCCTCGCATCAGACTATCTGCCCATAATTATCTCGATCGACAAACCCTTTATTAATAAAAATATCCCCGAATAAGGGATCTCAATTTGGAGATTCGGCACATGGTAAACCAACACAAGCGAAGAAAGTTGGTAGAGCAGTTGATGTCCTACAACCTCTCCACCGGTGTAGGTAAGCTATGGACTACGGTCAATTCCTTGTCTAATCCAGGAAGGCCGGGTTGAAATTCAATTCGATGGCCAAGCCTACTCGGACCCGAAGAAGTGCGCGAGCTATTTCAGACGGCAATTCACACTGAACGCTTAGACAGACAAGACCAAACGATGTGTTATCCGACGGCTGTGCAAAATGCCAAAAGACTGCGCACCACTTACTTTCACCGATGGGGAAAATCCACAAAATCCCCAAGTCGCTAGCCGGCAGCTCATGGGAAAAAGACAAAGAAATGTCGTTGGTCCGTTCCGGTTACTTAGATCCGACTGTCATGTGAACTGACTATTTGTTAGAATGCAACCCTTTTGTTATTGTATGAATAAAATGAATTGAACAAAAGTTAAATATTGAATTTAAGTTATTTTTGCACTATTTAATATAAAAAAAAAATGTATAGAAACAGATTAGCAGTGTTAGTGGATATAAAAGTTAAAAATATTAGAAATTAAGTTAAGTCAAGTAAAAAGTTCGTTCGGTTTTTATCTAAGAGATGGCGTTATTGCCCATAGTACTAGTGTTACGTGTCGCATCATGTCATACTATACGGCGCTGAAAACATGTTTATTCGCCCTAAAAGTTTGTTTTTGACAGTTTTTCGATTGATTGACTTAGTACGTTGTGAGCGCTCGTCAAAGATAGACACCAACAAAGAGAAAATTCGCTATATTTTACAATTTTTCTTCGATCAAGGCGAAAAAGCAGCCAAAGCGGCTGGAAAAGTTAATTTAGTTTATGGGCCCGATACTGTAAACGAACGTGTAGCACAAAAGTGATTTGCTAGGTTCCGTTCCGGTAATTTCGATGTCAAAGATGCACCACGCGTCGGTGGAAAAAAATCGACCCGAATTCTGAAGAGAATTGTGACTGGCGATGAAAAATAAGTCACTTACGAAAACATCGAGCGCAAACGGTCCTGGTCAAAGCTCGGGGAAGCGGCCCAGACGGTGGCCAAGACCGGATTGACGGCCAGGAAGGTCTTGCTGTGTGTTTGGTGGGATTGACAAGGAATCTTCTACTACGAGCTGCTCCCTTATGGCCAAACGCTCAATTCGGCCCTCTACTGCCAACAACGGGACCGCTTGAAGAGGCCATCTTTAATCAACAGAGGCCGAATTGTGTTCTATCAGGACAACGCCAGGCCTCACACGTCTTTGGTGACGCGCCAGAAGCTCGGATGGGAGGTCCTAATGCACCCACCATATAGTCCGGACCTGGCACCAAGTGATTACCATCTTTTTCTGTCCATGGCAAACGCGCTTAATGATGAGAAGTTGGCCTCAAGAGAGGCCTGTGAAAATTGGCTCCCCGAGTTTTTTGCCAATAGGGACGCAGCCTTCTACGAGAGGGGTATAATGAAGTTGATATCTCGTTGGCAACAAGTTTACGAACAAAACGGCGCATATTTGACTTAAATCGGACAAATGTACACAAAGTTATCATCTTTTGAAAAATCAATAAAAAAAAAAACAGAACGAACTTTTTACTTTACCTAATAAATCAAAAGAATACGCACTTTAAGTAGTTGAATTTTTTAACTTTAAATACAAATATGTTAAAAACCATAAGTCTGTGGCAACTAAATATATACACAGCCAATAAAGTTTGTGTTTACCCGGCACATTTTTTTTAAGTGAAGTAAAAACACAATGTAAATAGGAAATTCAGTTCAAATTTTCTGCATGTATTTCTTCTTTATATTCTTAAGTTCAAAATGCAAAAACAAAAATGTATATTCCTATTTTAATTTTTGTGATAACGGAATTTTAGTGTAAGAACAAGAAAACATAGACACCATTAAGTCTGCGTTCAGTTAGCTTGAATTGGAAATACCGTTACTTCTCATGAATTTGTGCGTTCTTTTTGTTTAGATTATATTGTGTTTTAATATAATTAGTCGTTTAAAGGTGCTCGTGACGCGTTTTAATAATATTTAAAAAAAATGGAAACCAAAAGAAAAGAAATTAGTCTGTCGGAAAGAAAAATTATCATTACATTGTGGAAAGATGGCGAAAGTTTCAGAAGAATTGGGCAAACTATTTGAAGAACGTATTCTTTTGTCCAGCGCGTCGTAAGCAATTAAAAAAAAACCGGAATTTCAACGTCAAAACCGCGATCTGGCCGTCCGAAAATATTATCAGCCCGGGAAGAACGGAAAATAATAAATATGGTGAAAGTTAACCCTCGAATTACGTCCACAAAGACTATTGAAAACGTAAATATAACCATTAAAAGAAAACAACAATTTGTGCCGGAACTGCTAGAAAAATTTTACGAAAAGCTGGATATCATGGTAGAGTCGCTCGAAAGAAACCATATATTTCATAATTATATAAATAAATCGCCGCAATTCTGAAGACAAGTAATATTTTCGGATGAAAGTAAATTTTGCGTTTGCGGCATAAAAGGTCGACAAATTGTGTGGCGCAAGTCAGGAACTGCCCTTAAAAAGCAAAATCTTGTTTGTACAGATAAAGACGGAGGTGGCGGAATTTTGGTGTGGGGTTGCATGGCGGCTCGTGGTGTGGGTCAGCTTGAATTTATTGAATCCACAATGGATAAATGGGGTTATTTGAACATTTTAAAAAACAATTTGAAACAAAGTGCAGAGAATCTTGGATTATCTTCGACGTTTTGGTTCCAACAAGATAATTACCCCAAGCATACTGCGGAAATAGTTAGACTTTGGCTCTTGTACAATGCTCCTAGACAACTTAAAACGCCTCCTCAATCACCTGACCTCAATCCTATTAAGCATTTATGGGATCTGTTGGAAAAAAGAATTCGTCAGCATACAATAACAAGTAAAGAGGCTTTGCGAAGTGTTATAAAAGAAGAATGGTCCCAGATTACAGCTGAGGAAACAGATAAGTTGGTAAGATCAATGTCAAATCGATTGAGCGAGGTTTTAAAACAATGCGGCTATCCAAAAAAATATTCAATTTAACTTTTCTTTATCATTTTTAATACTTTTGTAACTAATTTTAAAGCTGAACGCAGACTTAACGTTGCCTATGTTTATTTCTCCTTACACTAAAATCCCGTTATCACAAAAATGAAAATAGGAATATAAATTTTTGTTTTTGCATTTTGAACTTAAAAATAAAATGAAGAAATACATATAAAAAATTTTGTGTTTTTACTTCACCTAAAAAATAGTGTCGGGTAAACGCAGACTTTATTGGCTATGTGTATATTCTTAATTTGGAGAACCTCATCTATCCGCATATACCAATTTTAGCCCCGAACTCAGGGCATGCTATTCTAAATCCACCGTTTTTATGATATATTATACATGAAAAATTAAACAAAAACATGTAGGGAACAGCTAAGTTCGGATGAAACCAAACATTATATACTCTCGCAAAGTCAAATGGTATACTAGTTTTAGATTTCTTTGTGGATCTTGCCGCCATGTTCTATGTTGACCGGTATTTTCGGTAAAAAGTCAACTATAGGCACTGGGGTCCCCATATTTAGTACTTAGGGGCTTGAACAGTTTTGGTTCGATTTAGACAATTTTTGGTCAAAAGGTGGCATACTTTAAACGTATTAATCACGCATTTACCCCGATATAATCATTGTTGCTTGATATGCATAGTGTAAAGAGAAAGAATCAGATGGAATTGGAAGTCCGATTTCGCCCATTTTCGCACTATAACATAGAAATATGAAAAGAACGTTATGCACCGAATTTGGTTGAAATCGGTTAAGCAGATCCCAAGATATGGGTTTTCATCTAAAAGTAGGCGGTGCCAAGGCCACTATCTAATTTTGAAAGTGCTTTATATAAAGTCATCTCATACCATCTCAGAGATAAAAGTTAATGTCTCTCGCGTGTTTAGTGCTTGGTTTATCGCGCTTTTAGTATTATTTAACAGTATCGTTATATGGGGAGTGGGCGGGCTTGACACCCGATTTCACCCATTTTCATAGC